AACTTTGACGAAAAATGTGGAAACGGAGGAATTTTGGTGTAAAATGATTGTTGCTGATAATTTCTCTGCAGTATTTTAAACGTGCTTTCATTTCACAAGCAACATAATATTATAACAAAAAAAGAAGTCACTTCACTAGCAAGTCAAAATTACTCTTTAACTGTGTAACATGATGGTTCTATCAAACTCTCTTTGAAATCATAACCCTATCGCTTTTATTTTAATTGCACTTTTCTTTGAAATCATATGACATCAAGTTTTGAGAAACCTCCTTTTGTTTTGAAAAGTTTTTACGACCCTTTATGTTAATTAACTGCCAGCTGATGTTAATTATGTGTTTCAAATACATCTTGAGATGTAGGTTCCTAGTCAATATGACTCCTATTCATTTCAGCAACAACTTCGAGGTAAGAGTTTTGACGATTATGAATCCAATCTTGCAACAAACAAAGCTACCAACAAAGCCCAAGGTTTGCCAGAGAACAACATTCTCAAAAGCTTTTCAGTGGATAAAGACAGATCTAACAATGTTGCTAAGATCAAAGTTGTGGTATGTTTCTTTGACATTGTCTAGGGACACTGATGCTTCTGATACTGTGATTTTGTAACAAATGTTAGGTTTTGGTTTGGTTTGTGGAAGTTTGAGGTCTTAAAAATGTGGGAAGAATATGTTTTCCTGATAAAAGAATACTCTAAATAGGAAAGTCATAGGATCCTAAGATTCTTCAATCTTTCGCTACATCTTTTGTATGGTTGGTGTAATTGTCGGTGGTGATTTCTTGTAGGATCCTAAGATTCTTCAATCTTTCGCTACATCTTTTGTATGGTTGGTGTAATTGTCGGTGGTGATTTCTTGTGTAGGTGCGGAAGAGACCTTTAAATAAAAAGGAAATAGCAAAGAAAGAAGAAGACATTATTACCATAGAACCTAACTCCAATTATCTCACAGTTCATGAAACTAAACTAAAGGTAAGCATATAGTGTTGATAGACTTTATGCATCAATCATGCCAGTAAAAACTTTCCTGCTATCTGGAAACAGTTATTACTGGTTTTTATACTTTTTAGCAACTACATTTACTGTATGAAAAAGTATCTGGTTAACAGTCATCTTCCACTATGTTTGATCATTTTCTGCAGGTTGACTTGACAGAATATGTTGAGAAACATGAATTTGTTTTTGATGCTGTCTTGAATGAAGATGTTTCAAATGAAGAAGTGCGTGCATGACATGACCTGATCTTATTACATTATCATTCCGTTTTAGTTGGTTTGAGTTACTTATTTTATCCCTATATTCTTCTCAAAAAAATAATATATATATCACTGTAGGTATACTCGGAAACTGTGGAGCCCATAGTTCCACTAATTTTTCATCGAACAAAAGCAACCTGCTTTGCTTATGGGCAAACAGGTAAGTGCATTATGTCTCACCTATCATAAATTATACTTAGATGTATAAAATGTTACTGCTGGATGTTAGGATCGGCATCCAGATTATTTTTTAACTTTTGAACTTACGCAATGCCTTTTACCAAGTTGTTCTAAGATTCTTACTAGAAGTGAGAACCTTAATTTGTCTCTCTTCCTCTTCAAATGTCAAATCCTCATTATTATATCAAACTGCTGGGACTACCAGATGCTTTGTTTGCAGTTCACTACTTGAGTGCATTTTGTTTCCTGGGTGTTAATTTTCTTATTTTTTCTGGAACCAATTCATTTACTCCATATGGTTCCGAGGTTAAGCATCAACGTGCTAACCTGGATACCAAATCTTTAGCAGCACATCAACTTTTAGTGCAATTTGTTCGATGAGCTTTCTTGTCTGTTTACTCTCGCGTGTGCACAATTGCAGTGATGATGTCATGTTTCCTTGTTCTTTCCAAACTGACCTTGCTGTCTATGTTGGATTGTCAATTATCATTGTTTCTTCCTTCCATATAGAAGTAAATATATAGTTTATTGTTGTTCAGGGAGCGGAAAAACGTACACGATGCAACCACTGCCCCTCAAGGCATCCCAAGATATTCTAAGATTGATGCATTTCACATACCGAAATCAAGGTTTTCATTTGTTTGTCAGTTTCTTTGAGATATATGGAGGGAAGCTTTTTGATCTCCTCAATGATCGCAAGTAAGTTACTTTGGCTAGTAGTTACTGAATTATGTAGTTCCATGATTGAAATCTTACTTTTCAGGAAACTTTGCATGAGAGAGGATGGGAAACAACAGGTTTGCATTGTGGGTTTGCAAGAATATAAGGTTTCAGATGTTGAGGCAATTAAAGAGTTCATTGAGAAAGGAAATGCTACAAGAAGCACAGGTACAACTGGTGCAAATGAGGAGTCCTCTCGGTCGCATGCTATTCTTCAGCTTGCTATCAAGAGGTCGTCTGATGGCAGTGAATCAAAGCCATTTCGCATGGTAGGGAAGCTGTCTTTCATAGATCTTGCTGGAAGTGAACGTGGGGCAGATACTACCGATAATGATAAACAAACAAGGTAATGACCGTTTTGAGTTCATTTTCTTTCTGGAAATTACACCAAACTGGCAGTTTGCTTCTCCTGCTATGGTGCTGTTGGATGATCCGAGGAGATCTTCAGGGCCATAAGTGCACCAGTTGATTATCTAACCTATTTTCTTTTCTTTTTAACCGGGAGCTTATCCAAGTGGTAGGGTTGAAAACTTGTGGAACCTGATGAACATTTAGGTGATTTTGGAATTTTGCAGAATGGAAGGTGCTGAAATTAATAAAAGCTTACTGGCTTTGAAAGAGTGCATTAGGGCTCTTGATAATGACCAGGGTCACATCCCTTTCAGAGGGAGTAAGCTGACTGAAGTTCTTAGAGATTCATTTGTAGGGGATTCGCGCACTGTCATGATATCATGCATTTCTCCGAGCTCGGGATCATGTGAACATACACTCAACACTCTAAGATATGCCGACAGGTTAGTTGTTTTTGCAACAAGTATTGAAGCAGGGAAGTGATACTCCTCCCGTTTGCTAATATTGATGCAAGTTTAATTTTCAAGGGTGAAGAGTCTCTCAAAAGGGAGTACCTTGAAGAGGGATCCACTATCTTCATCAAACCTTAGAGATTCAACAGCATTGCCCCTCTCTTCTACTTTGCCAACGGAACCAACTTTTGAGGATAACGTAACTAACTTCAACAGTGAAAGACAGATTCGGTGTTCAGACAGATTGAAAGGGAACCATCTCCGCCTTTTAGAGTGGATCATGTTCGTAGTGGAAGGGCTGAGGAAAATCCGGTTTATTCCAAATATTTAGATTATTGCCAGGGTGAGAGAGGTGGTAAAACTGACATGTTGGAGGATGATTTTGTTTATCCTGAGGAGGTCTATGATCGGGATAAACCATCACGGGTGAACAGTAAATGGAGTGAAACCTACCGAAACTTGGCCTTGGAAGAGAGGCAGAAAAGTGAGGTACCTATGAAGCAGAAGGATCCCTTAGCATTTGAGGCTAAGAACTCTCATTTGGATGATGATCTAGATGCCTTGTTGAAGGTAAACTTCATTTAACTGTGAAAACTCAGTTTCCTACTGTCATCCAATTGGCAATTTTTATTTCTATTTTCAGGAAGAAGAAGACCTTATATCTGCTCACCGAAGACAAGTAGAAGAGACAATAGACATTGTTCGGGAGGTCTGTGATAATCCCCTTATAACTGTTTGTTTTTGTTTTGCCCCAGTTAAGACTTTTCGACTGGCTAACTGGTTGTGTTGTTTGTACAGGAGATGAATCTGTTAATTGATGCGGATCAACCAGGCAATCAGCTGGATGATTATATATCCAAGTTAAATGCCATTCTGTCTCAGAAAGCTGCGGGAATTCTACAGCTGCAGACTCGATTAGCTCTGTTTCAGAGACGTCTGAATGAGCAAAATGTTCTGATGTCTTCTGGTAACTAAACAACTGGGTGAGAGCATATGATGAAAGCCATAAATTTGTTTAGGCTTTTGTCCGATCAACAGGTACATTGTGGTTTTCATTTTGCTGGTTAGTCGATATTACGTTTATAGAATAGTAGGACTGAAGTTGCATTTCCTTGGTATGATTTTCTTAATGCTCATTGGCATGACAGCCTTGTGAAAGTTTTCCCAAGTGTTTACTTACGATCTATAATGAAGCGCCCTTCTCGGGTTGTTTTATCATATGATTTTAGAAACTGTATATGTGGAGGATATCTTATGAAATTGAATTTTAAATGACGGAAGATTTGTTGATTATGTAGAGTTCTCATATAATTTATGATGTCTGACGGAAATTTGAGATTTGTGTTTTGAGTAAATTACAATTTCACTGAATATGATTTGTTTATTTTAAGATAAAATTGACAAAACAAATAATTTCATGATTTTAGTATGATGAATCTTGCATGATTCAAATACTTATTTCTTACAAGATTTGTGTGTGTGTGTGTAATTCTAACAAACAATGATGTCCCTGTAAGTTAAATTAGCTTTTGATTATATTTGGAATAAATTTACAATTTTTGTGGAGTTTATTTGGAAAATTGTGCTTATTTTAATTAAAGAAGAATAATTTCACATATAAAAATTGAACTCTATATTGAATTTAATGAAAAATATGAAAGATATCTTAAATATTTTTAAAATTATTTTATTTATTTTTGAATACCACTAATAAATATGATCATAAATATTTATACATATGAACCAAAAAAATAACTAAATAAGTTTAAATGTAGCAAAGAGAGCCCAAAATTGATGGTGCCCTTAACTAAACGTGTTTAGGGAAAAAAGAATGGGCCCATAATGGCAAATACATGATTTAATTTTTTATATACAAATGGGAATATCCATTTTTTAATTTAAAAATGAGATATGGAAATGATTTTTTTTTAATTAATTAATTAATTATCTTATTATAAAGAGAATACTACAGTTGACGACTTGAACTCACATTTTTTTAAAAGAGAGTGAATATATTAACCATTCGAATAAAAAAATAGTTTTAAAATATAAGTCGTTTATGCTAAATTCATTTTAATTAATTAAGTCAGAATCAAGTATATGACCCACTAAAGATCCTTGTAAATCATGATTGCCCAACTTCAAGGGCATTGGATTTTGAAAGATCTTGCACAGATTTAAGTCGGTTATTTATAACAATAAATTATCAATCAAGTTATTAAGTAAGTATTTACTACCTTAGATTTAGAGTTTAATTTTTTTTAAGGATGATCTTATATCATAAAGGTTTACATTAATAAGAATACTAATTAATCGTCCATGCACTGCGTAATTTGGAAGGTATAGTTTTTCAGTTGATCAAACTTGGACACTAAGGAAGCAATATGTATGTATGTGTGCGTGTGTATATATATATATATTTGATTTGACTTACGATTATTGATTATAAACCAAAATTTATTGACTATTAAACCCACTTTCTTCTTTGAATTGACTTGAGGGACTGGAAAGTTAAATCTTATAATAGTCAACTCACGTAAACATCATTTATAATACATGAGCTAGAAACACGGGTAATTTAATTGACAGGT